CCTGATCTCTTTTATAGTTTTTTGAATATCAGGGGCTGACTGGGTAATGAAGTGAGAGTGTAAGAGGGCCATGCCTGCAGGGGAGTTTGGATCTATATGTGTGTATTCATGTAAAGCCTCAGAGAGGCGGGGTAGGAACTTGCTGGGATTTTCAGTGGATCTCTGTGTGATCTCTCTAAGCTTGTCATAATTGACTGACTTGTGAGTAGCCTTTTGGAGACCATGAAGTAGGTGTTTTGATCATGTTATCCTGGAGATCTCGATTCCCGTGGCCAGCCTAGTAGTTCCAATTTGGGTCCATGCAAGAACAGCAAGGCTCCCACAGGCTGCCTATTATTTTGAGCATGTACCTGAGCCACCATCCAGACCTGCTCCCTGTACATGGACTCAGACAATTCCTTCCATCCCAGCCACTTCAAAGACTGGAGCTGAGGCGGGGTTGTTACCTGATGAAGGGGGAGAAGGGGAAGGGTTGGGCTGAGGATGAGCGTCTGGAGGCCAGGTGTGGGGAAGAGAGAGAAATGTGGAGGGCTGACGGATCAGAAGATTGATCCAAGTCTGGAAGGAGAGCTCGAGCATGAGCTAGGAGAATTTGAGACATAGGACAGTCTTGACAGAGAGAACGCATTCAGAGATAGGAGAAGGCCTGAACGAGGAATCTGTACAGCTTTTGCCGCTTCTGTGAGCGTCCAAATCAAGTGCCATCTTGTGGCCACTGGGATCCATTATAATGAGGCATTTGAATTTTAATGTCTCCCTGGAAGTCAAGAAATTGGCCAGGAGACAGCCCAAGGGCGTAGATCATGGAGGTTTAGATCGTGAGGATCCCCTGTAGAGGGTGAGAAAGGGCAGTCAGTCCTGGTAGAAGAAAAGTGCCAGCAAAGGGCATCCCGTTTGGTGTCCACCTTCTTTTTGAGAGAAAAGCCACCAACTGGCTAAAGGAGTGTCCTCCAATAGCTGGGGTGCACAAGAAGAGTTCCCTCAGCCAGGTGCCTGAGCTTCATAGAGACCAAAGTCATAGAGAGTAGTCGGGGGAACAAAGAAGTAAGCAGGACAGACTCACTGATTCACCTTGAATTGAGGCCGGTGTTGGATGTGTTGGTCTGAAACGGTAAAAGTAGAGAGTCCCGGAGGCATCCGGTTTCAGCAGGTATGGGAAGGGCGGCCAAGGGCCAATCACCCCAAGAAGAGATTGTCCACAATGTCAGCCAAAACCCTTCCTGGGTTTCAGCACTATAATGAAAGAAAGTGAGCTGAGATGCCGGGTACCATTCAAGCTTTATTAAAGAAGGAAATCTGCTGGGCTGTGCTCAAAGTGGCAGGCAGCCCAGGGCTGCCCTGAAAAGGGGACAGCACCAGGTGTGGGGGTGGTAGAGCTTACATAGTGCACCAAGGGCTGGCTGACACCATCATGGAGGGTCATTATGCTAAGGTGGATTGGTGTGGGGAACTGCGTCCTTGAGGAAGCAAAAGGGGTTTCTGTTTAAGTCAGGAGGCTTCTTGTAAAGAGAAGTGGGGAATGGAGGGGAGGAAGTGGGTGGTGCCATATTGTACTTGGGCTTGTCTAAAGTGGCACTGGTTATGTTGCAGATCTATTACCATGTTCCTTGGGCCCAGGGTCTCACTTCATATAGCCTTTTTTCCCTCTGCTTCCATGGTGATATTATTTTTCCTCTGATCTTCTGCCTCCCTCTAAGGACTCCTGTGATTATACTAAGCCCATCCAGATAATCCAGGATAATCTCCCCATCTCAAAATCCTAAACTTAATTATATCTGCAAGGTCCCCTTTGTCATATAAAGTAACAAATTCACAAGTTCCAGAGACTAGAATCTGGACATCTTTGCAGGGGAGGGGAACATTATTCGGTCTACCACACTTTCTTTTACATGGATTTTTAAAAGATTTAATTTCATTTAAGGCCAGCAATGAAGGTAGTTTCTTAAATTTTTTCATGTTATTTATAAATGTGATGTTTTGGTACCATGGCAATAAAACTGAGAAATATCATGATATATTAAAGGAAAATTACTTTCATTAAGTCAGCATTCAAAATTACTAAGACTGGATTTTAAAATCACATAGTTAACTAATTTGTCCCTATAACTTTAGACAAAAAGACTTAGATTTTCTGCCTATCACATATATCTGTGCAACTGATTACACAAAGCGACTGAATTTTTTAAAATTACCTAACAATGTCATACACAGCATCTACCCAGCAGGATATATTTTATAATGAATTGATGTTATCAGTGAGATTAATTTCAGCAACAGAACTCCTGTAGGGCCCTGGGCTAAGTGTGCCACAAAAGTTACTCTATAATTTCTTCATGAATCACATTTATATTGACTCATATGGCCTGATGATTTGCTGAAGACCTTAAATAACTATCAAATTGGGCCAGATATGACATCAAGAAAAGGGTTAATTGGGACTGGGATAGGGATAAAAAAGAAAGAGATGAATTACTACTGAGAACTGAGACTACTGCATCTACACAGTTAACTATCTGGAAGAGAATTGAGGCCGCCAGTGTCAATGATTCTCCTGTCTGTTACTGGAAATTCTTGCCTTCTGGTCTGGTTTGCCTGGAACTGTTCCCATTTTAAAACAAAGTTCTGCCTCACAAAAATCCCCTCCATGCCTGGCAAACTGGAAGTGCTGGTCACCCTATGGAAAATAAGGCTGCAAAACCAGTAAATAACTTTACTGCTTTAAGAAATTCTTGAACACCAATTTATCAATTGAACACCTTGCTGATCTGGGCAAATAGCTCTTCTATCAGAACAAGAGATTACTCCCCTGGGCAAAAAGGTCACTCACCATTTATCCATTTACTTATCAAGACTTCAAGACCTAATCTATTACATCAGGAGTTTTGCCTAACCTCAACCAGATTCCCACCCAGAAAGACCCTTATTGAACCACTGAGGTTAGACTCCAGAGTGCTGTAAATGTCTTCCCCTAACCATCCCCCTCTTAAAACAACGGACTTCCATTAGTGCAGGAGGTTTAATAAACATTGTTGTGTTTGATCAACAGGTTGTTCTGATGGTCTTTTGGGGGAGTTGGCAGTTAACTATCCTTCACATGATTGTTTTCAAATACAGGAATGTTTCTGTACTTAAGACCTAAACATCTTATATTTAAGGGCTAATGTGGCTCCTTAATCATTATGTGGACATACACATGTAACAGGTGGTATAGTATGGTAAAAGGATCTCTAGACTTTGGTACAAGGAGATACAGGTTCCAGTCCTGTCTCTGAGAATCACTGTGATCATGAGTAAATCTTTTAACCATTCTAAGCCTATTGTCTTAACCTTAAACTAATAGGACTGGACCTGCTGAAGTCCAAAATCCTATGACTATTTCAAAAGGTATTTTATTCTTAGCAATTATGCCCTCATTCATGGATGAAAACATCCACACACAGCCATGCAGCCTTTGACACTCTGCACACACAAAGACTGTGCTAGAACCTGTAACCACTTCGTAAAAAATATCCTAGTAGGGACCGGTTCCTAAAATTCAGTGTGATTCTTCCCTCACACTATTTTTCTACTGCTACCTTGTTTCATTCACATAGATGTTACAGGGCTTAAGGCTGCACACTGTACAGTTTCTGCTGCCCTCCTGTACTGCGATCATCTCTTGATAGTTCACCCAACTAATATCTCTCCTGCCACCAATTATCAACTTATTTGTTGAATAGTAAAAGAATTCTAAAAGACGGCAATGTGGCAAATGCATAAGTTGAAAACAGAAGAAATCTAGTTCTGTGACAAACAAAATATATGGAAGCCAAAAGCAAAAGATAATATTTAAGCTAAAAGGCATTTTATAACACTTCAGGGCACTTTAAACTACATTATACTATATAGAGAGACATAGCAAAGAAATATTTAGGGCTCAGTAGTAAAGATTTAATTTAGTTCCATGAAGATAATTAGCTACGCTCTTTAAATATCTACAAATCAGACATAATTACGTTTTCATGTACTTTGCAAAACCACAAGAAACTTCTAGAAATTAAAACTAACATTATGATCATAAACTATACCTGCCTGTGCTGTAATTATTACTTAGTAATAACAAATGAAATAAAACTTCAGAGATGAGATTTACTACTGAAACCCAATTGCAATGATTTGGAAAATGGGGTAAATGTCTAAAAATGAACAGGTCTAGAACCCTTGTCAGAAAGATTTAAATTATATAAGGTAAACCCAGTACAGTGAGGAGACCTCATATATATATATATATTTTTTTCCTTTTTGTCTTTTTTACTGACCGGGAACGGGATCGCAACCCTCGGTGTCACGCCCGTACCGGGGACCGGCAATGGGATCACAACACCTCAGCCAGTGAGCGGGAACCGGTCTCCACATGGGATCCGAACCCTCGGCGGGAGCGCCGCCGCACTCCCAAGCGGCGCACTCTCCAGTGCGCCACTGGGCTGGCCCATCATATATATATATTTTTATCTATCAAGTAGTTCTAGTTTTTAAATAACTATAAGAACACTCAATCTTATATTTATAACATCACAAATAGATGACAGTTAGTTGTAGTCAAATAAAAACATCATGTCTCAGTGTAACACTTCTTTTTTTTTAAAGAAAAATTCCAACTACTTTGGGTTATCTCATTTAATCTTTATTTTAGTACCTAAGTGGGGGTCCCATCTTTTAAATTTAAATAAAGTTCTGTACCCAAAACTGCTGAAATGGGAACCAAAATATACAGCCATCTTTAACTCTGTAAAAACTACTTGTGAGAGCCAACTCAGTTTTCGTTTCTCACACCTTAATGTTGACTTCAGGCTTTAAAAATTACCATTTCTCTCTCTCTTTTTGCTTTTTTTTTTTTTTTTAAATATAGGTTCCATACCAAGTAGAAAATGAACATTTCCCTTGCAAAGAGAAAAACAAAAGTCCCACAACAGTTGTGTAACAGCACAATTCACCTTGAAATATTAAAAACACCATGCAAATTTAACAGCACTGGCTAATTTTATTATACAGAACTTAATAATTAACAAAAATGACTTCCATTCTCATGGCACTTTTATAAGAGGATTTATTAAAAGAAAAATACTGAGAAGCTCTTCCTGTGGAAAAAGAGTGAGATAACGGCTGCCGCTATGAAAGGACAAAATTTATTACAGTGGACTGGTTGCAGCTGCTATCTTCTCTCCTCATTAACATACTCTAGAACAAGAAACATGGTACTGTGCACTCCAAATCTTTCACCTGAAGATTTCACAGCCCTAAATAAAGCTCCATTTGCAGTAACCAGCACCATTAATCCCATTTAGACGTTTTCCTCCTCATATAACTGTGTCCCTCACTATCAATAGCTTCATAGAGGTCCTTTTTATTCTCTTGTGTTGCATGTAGATAACCAATGTAGGCCACACAAAGTGAAAGGGTTACCAATCCGAAAGCCATTACAGGTTTGTTCTGTTAAAGAAAAAAAAATTATTAAGACTAATAATTTGAGGAGACCCAAATATCTGTTGCACTTTCCTCCTGACACGCCACGTCTTTCTTACCACACTAGCATTCCTATGGCAATATTTCAATTGTAATCATTTACTCAGTTCTTGCTTCACTTAGCTCAGCCCTGGATCGTGTAGAAGACCCTTGCTTCACCTCTCCATTCTTTCTCCTCTCTACAGCCTGGACACCTCAGACCTCCACCCTCAGAAAGGTGACTGCTGGGAGAGGAGTGAGGCAGGGAAATCGGTCCGGTGCTCAGTTTTCAGTGTTATCTGTGTGATGTGGTGAAGTTGCTTAACTTCTCTGGGCCAAGTCTCCACGTTTGCAAACCCCAAATTAGTTCATTTTATTAAGAAGTGAGGAATAAAGTACACATGCTACTCTTGTTGCCCAAGTTGTGGATAACTGGAAAAAAGCCTTTTATAACATAATGTTGGGCATAGCAATAATGACAATGTATACACTCTTCTCTGGGAACCTACTCTATTACCTCAAGAAGTTTAGTGACTGGAACAGATATTATGCATTACAATAACCTTGACTTACTGCTGGAAAATACAATACCCTAAGAGACAAAGCGATGTAGCTTTGAATTTAAAAAAAGAAAAAAGCTTTGAAATATAGTTGAGATGTTCACAACTGCAGAGAAGTGTTTTGTCTCAGACCCCCCTTTTTGTGTGTTCACACTCAACAAATTGTGCTTTCCTAGTTCAGGGTAAATGCACAGTAGTGATACAAATAGTTTTTTCTGCTTCTGTCACCATACCTGCTGTATTACTACTATTTCACATCTTAATCACAAAAGAATAGGGTCAAACTCTTTCACCTTAATGATCATCTAAGAAAGGCCACAAGCTCAGAGCAATTTAAATCTGCAATTCTTGAAATGCTTTTAGCAATTAAAAGAACACATTAGTTCAACATTTTTAAAATAGTCTACCTTGATTTGATGATTTGTTTAGTTGACCCATTTAAGCATAACAGTTTACACTAGCAACTACATTATTAAAATTCTAATTAGATTCAATACACAGATATTTGTCATATTTTATAATTTGATTTCATTTACATTTAAAATAGAATTTACATTTAAAAATAAAATCCATCAAGTCAAATATATTCACTAATTAGCAACTAAAATATAAACAATTAGTTATCTCCATAACACAGTACAAATGTATGTTTTGAAATTTTTCACAAAATGTTTACAATATCACTTAGATAAATATATTATTAATATAGGCTGGAATTGCAGTCTGTAAGAATGGTCAGATTTTCATTTTGATTCTTTGTTTCAATAGAAGGTCTTATTTGCCTAATAGTGCCTGATCAAACAATAAAAATTGCTTTCAAATTAATGAAACCATTAAATTAGTACTTTAAATAGTTTGAGAAGTGGATCCATTAAAGTGTAACCATTATATTTCTCAAATGCCCTCAAAATATTTAGTTTTATTTTATATATCTATCTATATATATATGAAACAGCATTTAAAAGTCTTCCTTCTACCTGTTTTTATTCACAAAGAGGTCTTATTAGTCAAACGTTATAGTAAAATAAAAACTTTCTATCTCTGATAGCGTGGTTAGATTAAAAATAAAGTGTTATCCAGGATGTATTTTTTTTTTTTTTTTTGTCCTTTTTGAGACCGGCCGCACCGTGCTCAGCCAGTGAGCGCTGTGAGTGCACCGGTCATCCCTATATAGGATCCGAACCCGCGGCGGGAGCGCTACTGTGCTCCCCGTGCTGCACTCTCCCGAGTGCGCCACGGGCTCGGCCCCAGGATGTATTTTTAAAATTTTTTTTTTGGCAGCTGGCCAGTATGGGGACCTGAACCCAAGACCTTGGTGTTACCAGCAACATATCCTCCCGAGTGAGTTAATTGGCCAGTCCCTTGGATGTATTTCTTACAGGTTTAATGAAGAGCTCTGGATTCACAGCTCGAAATAAGGTCGTGGTGGGCACACCTCTGAGCCCTGGGTTTCGAAAGTCTTTCTCTTTGGGTGGTTCCTTTTTAAACGGTGGAGGTTCAGGTGTGGAAGACATCTTGACTAATGATGATTTATTACCTAAAAAAAAATAATACATTTTTTCCTTCATAATTGTTATTTATTTGGTAAACCCTTAAAAAAATCATTGTTATACTCATTCTTTTTTTGAATTCCAGCCCAGACATATACCCAAAGTGATTGTTAATTATCTTATTACTCTATATACATGCTTTGTAAATGGTGCTTTAAGTTTTTTTTGATAAGATGGTTCATTACTTTATTTTTCATCTCTTAAAACAAACCAGTGAAGCGGGCAAAGACTGTTTTCCTACTTTTACAGAAGTCTGGAGAATTGTTTGTTGGTATGAGTCACATTATATCCTGTTACACAAAGCCAGGACTAAGGGTAGGAGAGTCCAGTGGGTTACCTATTCCCTTCTTTATTTCCTTCCATTTTCACGCTTCCTCACCTTCCAACAGCCCTTCCAGGGCATCAACCTGAAGGATGTTATTTGTTCAGTTCTTCTCCTATAGCTTCTCCCCGGCCTACCCAAGCACTCACTGTCCCATGCACTCAAGATGAGTAGCTGTCTGTATTCACTACTCCTCTGCCTATCAGTGACTTTCTGGGGGGAACATCCTCAGCTGTCTCCTTAGTCTTTTCTCTTAGCTGCTCTAAATCTATTCTATGAAATCCAAATGTGTATTTTGTCTTATGGTTCTCCTAGCTAGAGTATCAACATTTGGGGAATATTTTTCTCTTGTAGGTATTAATTGGGAAAAGTTTATTCTTATTCCTGCCAACTAATGCTGGGATGGGGGTTGGGGTTGGAAGGGGTTGGAAGGGAGAAGGTAGAGAAAGAAACCTTCCAAAAACTGAAATTAATTACAATATAACAAAATGCTTTGAGGAAATGCTGCAAATCACGGTACTGTACATTCATATTTAAACACTCATTGGGGCTTTGTTTGTACAAGTATTCTTTATTCATTAAGTTTTCTATTTTATAGACTTTATAAAACCAATTATTTTTGCAACTTTATAGTTTGAAGAAAACTAGGAGCTCAGCTTTTCAAAACACTTTGTGTTGCAGTGGTCATTAAATATTCATCTATAACATTTAATTGGGTAAACAGCTCATTGGGAACATCTGCTTGAAGGAAAAGTATTCTCCAGACACTTTCTACACTTGCAGAGGCTTCAGAAATGTTCACTGTTGGCTGTTCCCTCACTTGTTCCCCAGGCTTCTTATGGTTATCTGTCATTGTCTTCATCACCATCATCATCACTGCTTTCTGGTTCCATTTTTACATCAGGTAGCATTCCTGTAACAATTTCAGGATTTGTTAACTCTTGGGAAAAAACTGCTATCTGTAGCCACAAGGTCTTCATAATCAAACTGCTTTGGAACACCAGTGACAATAGCAGCTGAATACCAGATTGGTTCAAATACCATGTTTGGTTGCAGTCTTCTTCCAGGTGGACCTCAGGGGATTCCACAGGGACCATGCCTTCTTTCTGCCAGCACTTCCCTACTGTAGATGACTTTATAGACCACCAGGTCTCCACAATCACATCAATAACTTGCTTCATGTTGATTTTCTCTGTTTTTTCTTCATCATCTAAATTTAGAAAGAGTTGTTTCAGCAACTGGTTTCAGTAGTGAGCTTTCACTGTGTGAATTATACCCTGATCTGATGGCTACCCAATGGCTATGTGGTTTAGTGGGAAAAATTCAAGACATACAGCATAGGAGAATGTTGTGGGCAGAGCAATTGTCTACCAGCAAGAGCATATTACATATTGCTCCTTTCATTGTCTTATCAACCTTTCTCAGCTATTCATTAATAATTTCTCATCATTCAGGCACGTGAATTGGTGTGGTAATCACTGGGGAGCAAATGAACATTTCTGAAACATTGGAAGTTGGGTGACTTGCCCATAACAGGTGGTCCAGAATGCATCACAGCAGAATGGAGCAGTCATCAATCTGTTTACTTCCTTTGCAAAATCCACCTCTGGTATGAAGCATATGATGAGAAAACTGGTAAAACATAACTGTTTCATCACCTTTTAAAACACCATTCAAGACATAACCAGCAATTGTTTGTTTTCTTAATTTTCCCTGCACATAAGTTACTAATTTTCTCTACTGGAACGGTGTTTTCTTCACTACAGTCATCTTCTGAAACAATTCCATAACATGCTTGAAATACATTCAGCCAGCACACACTTGCCTGAAAATCACCATGCTCAAGGTTGGCAAAAAATCCAATGCTTTCTGCTGCCTAGTGATGTCTTTACATGTCCATTTCTTGCATGAACTCCTTGATACCATGCAAAAAGAGTTCCAAAGGGACCTTGTATTCACTTCTGCTTTAGTCCCAGAATCCCTTTTTTAACTTTCTCTTCAAACCTGGCTCAATATTTCAAAAATGTGGATCATATAAGGAGAGTGATGCTAAATTCCTTTGCTGAAGAATTATAACAGGAGATGAAACATGGCTTTACCAGTATGATCCCGAAGACAAAGCACAAAAGTCATGGCTACCAAGAAGTGGAAGTGGTCCAGTCAAAGCAAAAGCAAACTGGTCAAGAGCAAAGGTCATGGCAAACGTTTTTTGGGATGCTCAGCTCAAAGCATTTTGCTTATTGGTGTTCTGGAAGTCCAAAGAATGGTAACATCTGCTTATTATGAGGATGTTCTGAGAAAGTTAGCCAAATCTTTAGCAGAAAAATGCCTCAGAAAGCTTAACCACAGAGTCATTTTCTACAGTGTCAATGCTCCTGCTCTTTCCTTTCATCAAACAAGGGCAATTTTGCAAGAGTTTTGATGGTAAATAATTAGGCATCCACCTTATAGTCCTGATGTGGCTCCTTCTGACTTCTTTTTGTTTCCTAATCTTAAAAAAATCTTTAAAGGGCACCCATTTTCCTTCAGTTAATATTGTAAAAAAGATGCACTGACATGGCTAAATTCCTAGGACCCTCAGTTCTTTAGGGATGGACTAAATAGCTGGTGTGAGAAATGTCCTTACCGGTCCAATGCCAAAGGATGGACCTGGAGACATGAGGTACAGCGAAGTGAAACTTTAATTAAAGCCTTGCAAGTTTCAGGTGTCTGAAAGGTAGGCACCCAGAAAAGGGTTGTAGCAAGCAATTTATTCCCTAGTGTGCTAGTCCCTCCCGCACTTCCTCATTGGCTGAGAGTACTATGGGGTGCACAATCTTCCTGGATGATGCCTAAGATTACCCCAATTTATTATCCCCTTGTAAGAAATTTCTTTGTCTGAGGGTTCAGGACAAGGGCCTGCTGAAACCCTGTGAAAGGAGAAACACTAAGGAATGAAGAGAACAATAAAGGGCTAGTAAATCATTACCATCTCAAGAAGAGCTTTATCTGTTTGAAGTAAACAATTAAGGGCTGGTAACTCATTACCATCTCAAGGAGAGTTTTTATCTGTTCAGCGACCCTTCAGGAGTGGGCTGGACCAGTCAGACAACTTTTGGGCTGGGCCTGAATCAGCTAAAACACCCTCAGATAAGTCATTTTAGAAAATGAATCACTTAGATTATTTTCTTACAGCTGGTATCATCGCTTTGAACTTGATGGACCCTTATGTTGAGAAATAAAGTTTATATTTTTAATTCTTATCTTTTAATTCCATTTTCCCGTGAACTTTCTGAAGTACTCTCATGTATGGTATTGTAACACAAATTGTAGTGACTTAATCTTCGTTGCAAGATTCCTCAAACTCCTTTTTTCTTTAGCAGAACCTACATTTCCTTTGTAATGAATCAAGGAAATAAACAATCAAGGTAGTATTTGTTATATTATAACCTCCGGACATCCACATCCACCTTAATAATGCATTGTTTATGTTACACTCTTTACCAGAAAGGACAATTGAAGAATACTTGGACTGGAAGCCCACGTGCATGTTTTAAAAGACTTAATATACCATAATTTCCATTGTGTTATTTTTTAGAATATATGAAAGTAATATTTTCCATAATTTATCATTCTTTTATTAGAAGTGGAATAATACAGTTCAGTAGCATTGCTGCATATCCTTTTATGAGCCAGTCAGTGAGATGTTATAATAGTTCTCAAATTGCATGAACTTATTTATACTGTCTGTCAAGCTAATAAAGAATTTTTAACAATCATCTATACTTTAAATAAAAAGTACAGGTTTCTGAGGCCCAAAAGGGTCTTGGTAGATAATATTTTGTTAAATATAACTATAAAAAACAAACAAACAACCTTTTTACATAGGAGAAAGTTCTCACATATTTCTTCACATGCCTGGCTTATAGAGCTATTCAATAGTGTATGGTTGGGGCAGAAATTAAAGATATATTGGTTGAATAAGTAAAGAATGTAGGATGCAAAACCTTAGTTGTTTCAATCTTTAGTACTTTTTGAGAAAACAAATCTCTATTTCAACAAGTAAACTTTTAATCTAGAAGTAAAAGCTGACTAGCTATTTTCAACTACAGAACTAATAAAAGTTCTATTTTAAAAAGCTGCAGAACTAATCATAAGGTCAAAGCATGGCAATAACTAATTCTGACATTACCACCCAAAGGAACTGTACCTAAGACAAAAACAGTTAACACCTAGCATGGCAACCAGGCAAGCGACAGAGCCAGTCACCCAGATGCAGGGTCCTGAGACAGGAGCCAAGGTCCCCTCCCACCCCACAGCATCTTAGAATGTACTTATGAGCCATGTGTGTTTCTTTGAGATGTGTGACTTATCTGCTCATGTCCTATACCAAATTTCTGCTTAGATTTTTCTAATTCATTTTTAAGAGTTCTTTTTGTATTAAGGATGTTAATATTTGAGTGTTAAATTTGTTCCTTATAAATTGACTTTAAATTTAATTTGTGATGTTTTCCTGTGTTTCTATGTTGACAAAATAATTTCCTATCTAAACATTAAATACAAAAAAAAAAAAAAAAAATCTAGCACACTTCCATCAGAACTTCCTAAGTCTTCCCATCACTTTCTCCAACTTCTTCCCCTCCCCCCCTTTTTGTTTCCCACTGCAGGTATCTAGCATTTATATATTTGCATATGATATCGACCAATCAGTAGTTCTATTCACTTTGAGGATGTTTATTTTTAAGCTGCATTTTATAAGCCTCATTTATTGCATTAAAAGGGGATTTACACAAAACACATATACATACTGATTAGCAGGGATGATGGGAATTTGGCACTGCACTGCTCCTAGATAAGCAATTTGGTGATTAATTTATGTTTGGGATCACAGAATGTTAATGTACAGGAACCTTAACAATAATCAAAGGCTTTCTTTTAAAAGACTCAGGGAATTACAAGATGAACAAGATATTTTAATGAGAGTATAAATACACTTATTTTAGTCTCACATACTACACTACCTTCATACTTAAGAAAAGAACATGAAGTCTGGGATGGAACACCTTAGAAATAATTTAAATTAGTATAAACAAGTTTGGGATAGAATCAGAGTTCTTTATGGTTTGGGGGAATCTAGCATAGCTTCGGATTCCCACTTTGCTACTTATGAGCTGTGTGTCTTTGAGTAAGTCACAACTTCTCTGATTCTAAGATTTCACCTTCATAAAAGGAACTAATACTATACTGCATACAATAGATGTGTATTAAATATGTGTGGATTAAATGAGATAACGTTTTTAAAAGGATATAGCACATGTTCAATTAATGGTAGCTACTGTCATCCTCACAATCTAGTCCAACTGCTCCTTTTAAACAAAGAGAAACTTAGACCCAAAGAGTATCTGTCTTGCTAGGAAGAAGGTGAGGCAACCCAGGTCTCCCAATTTCCAGCCCACAGTTATTCGATCACCACACCCCGTCTCACTCCTAAATCAATAAAAGAACTTTGCACTGATAAGCTCTAACAAGATTTAAGAAACAAAATTGTAATCACTTATGTTTTAGAAGTGGATTCTATATTTGTTATGTTAAATTTAAAATATACTTTTTTGAAAGTATCTTCCCGTCCTTTGAATTTGCTGTACCACGAAAAAGGTCTCGCCAGTGGCTGTTGCAGACAGTCTAAGGGCTGTAAAGTCCAACTTGGCTTCCCTCAGTGCTGTGGGAACTACACTACCGTCAGTACAGAGGGCTCACCCAACGACAGAAAAAGCCTTCATTCAAATAACTGCCAGACATTTGTGTTCCAGGGTTGAAAAAGCTCGACTGTCAGCACAGTTCCAAAAGAAAACAGGCATCTCCTGAAAACGACAAAACCACACTCCCCTAAACACGAGAGTCTGGAGAGCTGGGACACCAAGAAACTGCAGAGGAAACGGGAGGTTTCTTGGGGTGGGGGTTGTCCATGGACGAGTCACCAACCAGTGTCAGGCGCCTGGAATATGAAGGTCCGAGAAGTGAGCTCGGCGGGGCCAGAGATTGCCAAGACTTAGGGTGGGGGCGCAGGGTGCCCCCGCGTGGCAAAGATCCGGGGTGCCGCCGAGGTCGCGGCACCTGAGAATGAGGCCGGCAGGGCTGCCGGGCCCTCAAAGCCAGAGAAGGGCCCGCGGCGGGGCGGCCCCCCTGTCCCCTCCCGCCCCGTGCCCCGTCACCCGGTATAGGCCGCGTCCGCTCACCCTCCGCGAAGTGCCCTTCACTCCGCGCCCGATACAGCTCCGTCTCGCCGCCGCCTGCCAGAGAGCGGCCGAGCGCGCCCGGCTCAGCCCGCGCCACTGCGCCCCCTACTGCCCGGAGGCTGCGGTGCGGGGGCGCGGGGCTGCGGGGACTTCTCGCTGCTCTGGCCCTAAGGTTCTCGCGCTGGCCGCCAGGGCTTCTGCGGCCTGGGGTTTGCGAGGGACCTGTAATTTTCAGCCTCCCAGCTTCAAATAACCTTCCAGTTTCGTGTTTGTATGTTCTGTATAAGTAAAAGGAGACATCTCCTAGAAACGTATACAGTGTATTTAATAAAAGTGGAAAGCATTGTGATTTGAGAAAGAAGGCTGAGTTCTGGTTTCCTCCCGCCCCCATTTTAGCGGCACAGTCATTTACGTGTACAGTTAATTCACTGCCATTCTGTTAGGTCCTTGAGATTTCAAGATGCAAGATGTATGCAGCTGCGATTGAGACAAGAATAGGTAGGATGCCTGTTTGCACCGACTTTGCTGATGTTTATTAGGATACGAGTTATATTAAAACAATCAAACTAGTTAGAATAGGAGGCAGCCAGATTTTGGCATGGGTTTTATGTAAAGCTTTGGCAAATGAATTTTGAATTTAAAACTTGTGCTTCCAAGCCAAATTAACTTTACATTTGATGTGAGGTTTAATTTTTAAAAGGTTATTGACAGCTGGTATTACTAGGCAATCTTTTGACAAGGTAAGTAAAATTTCAATTAAAAAGCTGTTTGTGCAATAGATAAGAACAAGTGCAGTGCCACAAAACGTGGTGTCGAATCCTCAACAGACCCAAATTTTCTTATCACTTGGGGTTCTCCTCATTAATTCATAACATGCCAAATATCACTCTGGAAACAGAAGTACTTGTACGGCCATGATCAATCCAAAGTGATTAGATGAAAGAATAAATGAAACATAAAACATATAAGAAGAGAGCATTAGCGGTTGGTAAAGACAACAGAGAAAAGCCTAAAGGCCTTGCTAATTTCATGGAAATGGGTACAATGAATGATATGACTAAACAATAATTCATTCCATTTTATGATGCTTTCAAGAAATTACTTTGAAGAGTGACACCAGTTTGGATTCAGCTTTTATAATCCTTGTTCCAGCACCATCAATATTTAATAATATTTAACAGGAGATTTTATATTTGATGGGATTGCATAAAGCAAAGGTTCATTTGTAAGAAAACACATTCTAATTCATTAAAGAGATCTGTTTTAATCAGGTTCCCCAAGTGTGCTTTGGGGACAACACTGGTGGTCTGGGAGCTTTCTCAAGGGGTCTTGATGACAATGATGCTTTTTATTTCAAGAAAGAATTAATAATTGATCTATAATATTTAACAAAAATAATATATTATTGGTGTTTTGTCAAAAGAAGTTTTTTTTAAAAAAGATAACATAAACACTGGCTATTTTTTTTTCCCTAGCAGAAAGTCAAGCCAAAATAGGTGATATAATTAATATGGGCCAAGAATATCTGTCTCCCTTGAATGAATTGTTAGTTGGCAAGTGAGAAAAGTAAGCATGTTGTGGTAGTTTGCAAAAATAGTCCCAATTGTTCACCCTTTCCTGTATCCAACCCTCATCTATGCCCTCCCACTCTGACTGTGGGGTCGGCCTTATGACTTATTTTGGCTAATGTGATATCAGCGAATGTGACACAAAAGAGGCTGGAAAAGTGCTTGAACTGATAAATACACGACTACTAGCCCATTGGAGATGAAAAACACATAGAGCAAAGCCAAGTCATCTTTGTCATTCCAACTGAGGCCATCCTAGGTTGGCCATCAGTTAGCTAGTTCCAGACATATGAGCAAGCCCTGCTGGGCTCACTCAAGCCTGCCCAGATCAACTGAACTCTGCAGATGCATGAGCGTAAATATCTGTATTTTTGTTTACCATGCTGAGGTTTTGTTGGTTGTTATGCAGCATTATTGCTGCAATAATGTGTACATTAACTGATACACATGTCCTCCATTGTAAATTCCCTGGAACCAAAGAGTATTTACCTAGAAGCTTGAGGAGTAGTCTGCTTTCCCGTGCGGATTGTAAAAAGGACATCTTACTATTTTTGAAAACCACATAGTTGTCTGGCAACACAGGAATGTCTGCTCTGGGAAGAAAATGAAATCTATCAAATGGTATGAGACATAAGTGACTAAAAAAAAAAAAGAAAAAAATTAGAATGAGGAACTGATATTATTTTGGGGATCATAATTTATTACTGTTTTTCTTCTATATAGTTTTAGCAAATTTTCTTTTGATACTTTTCATGTTGGATCATTTTATATTTATTTCTATCACATTTCAAAATGCTAGAAATAATAATGATTTAGTCTATATTAATATTTCTAAGGTCTCATAATCTCAAAGTACCTTAAAAAGGAAATACAATGAAAACATTTTTATTCTATCTATTCTTCTTTTGAAGTAGAAGTTCATTATCAGAGCAATTTAGGCTCAGTTTAGCAAAAAATTTTGGTGCATTCATTGTGCCAGATGCTATCCTGGGCACCAGAAATTCAAAGATTATAAGACATAGTCTTTGCCCTTGAGGATCTTTAAGACTAGTGAGAAAGTCAATATATAAAAACAGATAATTTCAATGTAATGTGATTTGCACAAAGTTCTATGGAAGCATAGAGAATGGGATATCACTTGGCCTGGATATACCACAGAGAACGGTGTGTAGCTGATGACTGAACTGAGAATCACAATCAGAAGCAATAATCAAGGTGAGGAAGTTAGAAAGGATGTTTCAGGCCAGAGGAGACAGAATGAACATAGGCCTCAAAGCATGAAGCTGTATAATGTGATGTGTGGTTCTTACTCACCAGAGAGTGAATAATAATAAAATGGAATGTGGAAGGAAATGAGGTTGGAGAAACACATAGGGGCCAGTCCAGGAAGGCCAATCTCCATTATAAGGGACTTGGACGTTATTCCAGAGGTCTAGGGTAGTCACCGAAGCAATTTAAATCAGAAGTGACATAGTCATATTTGTGTTTTACATAGGTCTCTCTGTGAACAGAATGGAGTAAAGAGTATAGAACTAGTTAAAAAGCCAATGTAGTATTCTAGGACAGAGAGGAAAGCCTGGATGAGGACAGTAGTAGGAAGTATAGAGAATATGGGGCAGACTATGGCAATACTAGTAGGTGAAATTGGCACAACTAGTAACTGGTTTGGATTGGGGTGGGGGGTGAGAAAAAAAAGGAAATTAGGATGATGTAGTGAATCCTTTCTGCTCTTCCAGATTCCCTGTTTGGGTGATGCAGAAAGACCTACTGTTCCTTCTCTGGGCATTCTCTTGGCTGCAGGAAACTGGCCTCACCCAGTTGTGCTCTTTCAGGGGTGGCCTGTGACCAATGACTGGCCAATGAGGAGATACAAAGGCCCAGCCCTCCTGCCTCCATTTAGGAAAACTCTGATGAGCCATCCCAGCTCCAGAAATCCCAGTAGGATCTGCTAAAGCCTCAATTACAACCAAATGTGAGTTAGCTTCTCCCTCTGCCCAATCCTACCTTCTCACTTCCTTACAGCTGTATCTCCCAAGAGCACGCCCAATCAACTTTCTGAATGCAACTCTCCATTTGAGAATATGTCTTTAGGAAACCGAGCCTCAGACAGATGACCAACAGGGTTTTAACTTAGGTGATTGGTGGGTGGTGGGGCCATTAGCTAAGATCCAAACTACAAGAGCAAGAGCAGGTTTGGGAGATGCAGGTGGATGAAGAAAAGGAGTCTGATTTGAGTTATATGTGAGATATCCATATATATATATATATATATCCATATATGTATACACACACACAATTTAATTAAGTGAATGCATCTGAAGTTTGAGGAAATAAAGATTTAGAAATTATCAACATAAAGATGATAGATAAAACCATGAGAGTGGATGTAGATATGTAAGGAGAGGAGGCAAAGAGGGAACAATGGGCCAGTACAAGACACTGGGAATGCCAACATTTAGAGAATGAGCAGAGCAGAAGGAGCCCATGAAAGGGTGTGAGAAGGAATGGTCAGAATGATGTGAGGAAGACCAAGAGAGGAGTATCTTGAAAGCCAAACGGAGTCAGGATGATTAATATTAATGCACCAGCTACTTTGCCACCAGCTAAACTTTTCAATGCGCTACTTTCCTCCTTTCTAAACCACAATTCTGTTCGTGTCACTCTTCTGCTGCATACTTCCTGATGGGACACCCTATCCTGCCCCTACCCTTTGCTTCACGATTAAGAAAATCATGGAGGCATCACATCCACAGGTCAGCTTGGCTTGGTGTGTAGGCATTATCTTCTCTGGGAGCTGACCCTGGAGAAGAACTGGAGCTATGCAGGAAAAAGATTCTTCTTTTGGGATTCTTGCGTAAGGCTAAGAAACTGAAGCAATTTTATGAGGAGAATATAGTAGCAAAATCCTGAGCCCCTGCAGAGACTGGGCAAATGAAGCCAGCAAACCCTTCTCCCACCACCCCAAGACTCTGGAGTCTATTTGTAGGAGTTGATATACAAGGAGGTTCCTTCTTAATTGATTAAGAGGGAGGGAAGAGATTTGTGCATTAGCTCAAGGATACAAAAGAAATGGAAAAGAGTAGGGTTTCTTGTTCCTTGGCCAATTGAGAGCAAGATCTGACCCCTGAAAGATGGTCAGTGGGCAGAAGCTGAAGGGAGCAATTTTTGGATATAGGATCTTGGAAGACTCAGTGTACAACTGTTATTTCAGTTGCAAATGATAGAAACCTGACTGAAACTAACTTGAGTTCAAAAGGACTTGTATTACTTCTTGTAATGGGAAATCTAGGGAGGGAAGAGGTTTCAACAGTGAGATATGGGACATCCGAACATGTCAACAGGACTCTTATCTCTCTACTCTGCTTCTTAGATACACTTACTCTATATATCAGGACATCCCTGCTGGCAGTTCCAGGCTTCTATCATGTTAAAGTACATCCAAGTAGAAAGGGAGCTTTTCCATCATCCATACATGAAATCTCCTATGAC